TCTTTGTGAATGAACAAGAGGTAGATATTTGGGGAGGGGTGTATGTGACAAATGTACCAATTATTTTGCTGTGTGCAAGATAAAATAGCCAAAGACCCGAATCTATAGACTTCATGTAATAAAACTCACTGCTGCTGATAAATCCCAGATATCCTTTAGATTGCCTGCTGAGTAATATTGAAACAATTGAATGAATCATCTGCATAATATATACTTGTATTCGTATTGCTAGTTTTGCACCAGAGCCATTGATTGCTATTACCATAACATCCATATTCACTGATTCCAATTTAATACCATGTAAGCATTATGGGGCCTAAGTGGGAAAATTTACAGCAAGCAGAAGGTGATGTCACAACATTGCAAACAAAAGAACTGTGTGGAGGATAAATGGGATGGGAAACTGAAAATAGCTGATAATAAGACACTAAGCTGTCAAGAAGGAAGTAACAGCAACACTAAAGTCTCTAATAGAACACTGTGTTGTTTGTAAACGAAATTTCCTGAAACTTACAAAAGATTTATGATATAAAGAGAACCTGGACATGTTCCAAGGAGCGCCAAGCCGATTAACACAAGGAAAGACTTGTGGGAGTGTAGATGCAGAATCAAAGGTCTGGCTTCTGCCAAAATTCACATGTCCTGACGGGAGATCTCTTCTGCTATATGAATCAACATATTTCTAATAAATAATTTATTGAATAAAATTGAGATTTATTGAACTGAGCACTGATCTCGTGCCAGGGCTGTTCAAGCTAACAGTACAGGATGGGTAACCAGTTTATATGAAGGGAAGGTTAGTTAAAGAGAATTGTACTTAACTATGCATAATAGTTAAGCATAATAAAGCAATAGCAATTAGCTTTATAAACTGCTTCACAGTGCTTTACAGCCCTCTCTAAGCACTTTACAGAGTGAGCATATTGCCCCCAACAATCTGGGTCCTCGTTTTACTGACCTCAGAAGGATGGAAGGCCGAGTCAACTTGGAGCTGGTTAGAATTGAACTGTGGCAGTTGGCAGAGTTAGCCTGCAATACTGCATTCTAATCACTGTGCCACTATGGCTCTTGTGTACAGTATAACTATTTTGTACAGAAGATGACAGATGGTTACTCTGTTACAAAAAGAGCTATTTTACCTCATGTACAGGAAGCTTCTGAACAATCAACTCCTGGCCATTCATTTCCTATGACTACAGTTATTAGTATTAACACCTTTCATCTGTCATTGTCCAAAGATTGAGGAAATGGCTTGCAGCTAATGATCAACATTTGTGTACTTCCCTTGAGACATAGTTACTATGATATGCCATAATACAAAAGGGGAGGGGGTATGTGGTCATGCATGGATGTGAAGAAATGCAAATTCTTACTAGATACAGCAAGCCCTGATAGGCATTCCAGAAAAATACATATGAAAGCAGCTGTATTAGCTATATTTCACAAAGAAGAAACTTAGTGTGTGACTGATTGGGAAATAATATGCAAATATTTTTTTGTCTGATCCTTGAAAATATTTTGTAACCACACAATAGGAACAAATATTTATTTCAATACCTACATTGTTGACTCAATCAGATACATCATATATACAGCACTTATGCATACAATATATGTCAATGCTAATATTAATTTATATAGTAAGTGCATGAAGTATTGTAGATTATCTTCTGATGGATAAATTTCCTTGCTCAGATATTGCTCTGGAGTGTTTTTCTTTTGGTCATGCTGCTGTTATTACTTCATTTTAAATATATGTGTTATTGGATGTCTCCCTAAGGTGCCTTTGGGTAGATGGCTGTAACAAAACTATTTAAACAAATTACTGTGCTACGCATAATTGACATGGAGACATTATAGGACACATTAAAAATGTAATTCTTAGCTCAGAATAAATGGCCACTGAGTAAAATGTGCTGAATTTAAAAACTCAGGCGTTTCACTCATCAAAATAAGAGTGTCCCAAAGGTGCTTTTCAAAAGGCAACTGGACTCTGTTTTTTTCCTTGAAAATGTTTCGCTTCTCATCCAAGAAACTTCAGTTCTCAAAATAAGAGTGAATTCTTCACAAGTAGCTACATGAGAATATTGTAGGCACATTAAGTACTTTTGGTGTGTCAGAAAAAAATTAAAATCTTGCATACTATGGAAAATGAATGACTTGCTATAAGGAATTAAGAATACATAGTGTGATGTTCCTCAATGTTTAATATCTCTTTAATGCAGTAAATAAGTCAGGAAATATATGACTTTGAAGCAGAGGTGTCAAACTGGCGGCTGCAGGCCGGATGCATCACATACAGACCATGGCCACCCCAGTTCTGCAAATGGGAAAAACGTCACAAAACTTCATGTGACGACAATGTGACACCATGAGTTTGACACCCATGTTCTGAAGTGTGTTGCCTAGAGAACTGAAACAAATTGGCTTGACCATTATAATCAAAGAGCATTAAACCAGAGAGTGGTTTCAAGTGGAGTGCAAATTAGTTTCAGTGCTGGGCTTCACCACTGCCACACTTTTCTTAATGACTTGGATGAAGATATGAAGAAATGCATAGCAAATAGGCAAAGGTCACAAAAATGAATTTGTAATATTTGAGAGACAAGAATAAAAACTTCAAAAGAATCTTGATATGGTAGAATAGGCTAAAAAGAATATATTACATTTAAGAGGAACAAATCCAAAGCCATTTATTTGGGAAAAAGAAATCAAATGAATAGACACAAAATGGAAAGAGGGATACTAGCTTTGCTAACAGTAGTATTTAGACTTATTAATAGATGTATATTTTTCCACATTACAGAACATAATTCCATTTCATTCTGTGATGGGTAGACTCCATATTGAATACTATGTTCAGCTTTGGGGACACACTTCAAGGATTTAGACAAACTATATCAGATTTAGAGAAGATAAGTGATGATGACCAGTAACTAGGAACTAAATCCAATACTGTAAAAGATATTCAAATAATTAGGCATGGCTAGCCTAAGAAGAGAAGATACACGATATCACTCTTCAAATATCTGAACAGACATCACACATCAGAAGATTATAAGTATGTTGCCTATATTTACAGAACAAAAAATAATAAATGTAAATTACAGGACATCAAATTTTACCAAATGATATGAAAAAAATCTAACAAAAGAATAATGCATCCCTTCACATTGAATCTGCTGGGGATGCTTTATTTTTGGTTATTGTATGGAGCAAGGGCTGGAACTTGATAAACTGAACAAAACTAAACTAAGTGATCCCTTATGTTCTGTCGCAGGAAAAGACCTGACTCGAGACCAGTGTGACTTCAGCTCTTTATTTGCTCTCAGTAACTTCAACAAAACCGGAGCCGCGGCAGCCTCTTTTATAGCGGCTGCTCGTGGCTCGTGGCCAATGATGGCTCCTTAAAATTCCCGCCGTCAGACGGACCAATTAAAAGACAGGATTACAAGTATTCAAGACAGACCAATCAAAGGCAGTATTTAGGACCAATCAAAAGGTAGCATTGACAGACCAATCACAATGCGGTATTTCAAGTATGCAAATATATAACACCTTATATGGTGTTATACATTTATTTACATAAACTCAAACATGAAATCAGTATGCATCGTCTTCTGATGGAGTTCACCAACAAGCTATTTAATGGCAATATGATAAACCAAAATCAAAGAATTTATATTAGAATTTGGTGTGATACTGCCTCTGTGTGCCTATGAACTTATTAATTTAGAGCAATTATCAATATTCAATGGGTACCTAATACAAGACAAATAGTGGATGTAAAGCTCAGTTCAGGTATTTAATTTGATTTTGACTGCACTCAATTCCAAATCAACCCTGGACAGCTCACAATACAAAATGGAATGCAGAGACAGTTAAAAGACAAATTTAATAAATACAATAAGAAAAATAACAGAATGACAATTTGAACCACAGTAGAAGTAGACATGGTTTATCATGGAAGGGATTTTATTGGGACATTTATAAATGCATGTACATATGCTGGTCGGAACAATAACAACTACATTATAGCTTATGTGCACCATTTTTAGGCCATGGTTTTCAAATAATGCAGATGAAGCTGACAGATTACTTTTACTTTAGAAAGTACCTCATATAATTGTTGTGGCAAATAATAGGAGGAAGAAGTACTGTATATGTCACCTTGAATTCTGTACAAAAAAGGTAAAAGGTAAATCAAATAATACATTATGGCAAGAAAAAAATACAGACATAACGTAAATTATCCAGACATTATATTAACAGAGCCATCTACTGGCAACTATTAAAATGTGCTAAATGTATTCCTTTGAAAAGTTTATATTCAAGATTATTCAAGGCAGAGAAACCACATTTTCACCTGTGTTTAAGGTAATGTATATTGTCTGCTAAATCTGGTAACTGGCAAGTTTTTATTTTTATTTATTTATTTGATTTGTCAATCGCTTACAAGATAACAGGTATAAGTATAAACATAGTTATGAATACATGAGATGGATACATATGAGAAAAATAAAAAGAAACAATAGGACAGGGACCGATTGGTGCGCTTATGTACGCCCCCTACTTATTTATAATTTATAGTTATAAACTACCACTGCAGTTTTTTGCATGCCTTATTCAGTTTAATTGTAACATCATTCAGGAATCTAATTTCTGCCAAGGGTGTATATCTATTAAACTAAATTACCCACAGTTATATTGTAACTAATGCTGCATAGAAATGGTCTTTGATTTATCATGATAATGCTCATCTTCAACCTATTAAAAGAGAAGGTTAGAATTTGTTTAATTGATGGCAATGTAGAATCGACTAGAAACCCTTAATCCGAAAACCCAGCGGGTTGCATAAACTATGAAAAACTAGATTTCTCAACTGCCATTTCCTCGGATTCCCAACATTGCAACTTTTCTAAGCTGGAAGCCTACATTTCCCAAACAGCAATTCTTCCCCGAGGGTCCGCTTCCGCCTAAAGAGCAATGCTTTCTGGGACATGGAGTCCATGCCTCGGTATCAAATGAGACGGCCGCAATGTCGGATTCCCCCAGTCGATAGTACAGCGTACTGTACTATTTGAGCATGCAAATTTCGTTTCCCTTTCCGGAAGCGGGGCCTTTGAGGGGGGTGGATAAATAACGGGAGCCGGAGTGGATCAAAAGAATCGGTGGTAAGTCGAAACAGTTTTTCTTCTCCCCTTTTGGTGGGCGGGAGGTATCTCCCTCGCTTTAATCTAGCTCCTGTGTCCTGGGTGAAGGCGACTGGGGTGGGATCGAACGCTTTGATTCTTCAAGTTCTCTTCGGGGAGGAAACAATCGATTCCGAACCCCGAGCGAGGCTCCCAGTGCGTGGAAGACTTTTGCAAAAGGTGAATAATAATAATAATAATAATCCGAGATCGTGGGGTCGGATGGAGAGAGTGGATCTCTGAAATTTCTGCAGGGGAAAAAAGCAAGGGAAAAGTTTTCCTTATTCAGGAAAGGTCTGAAATGTTGGCTTTTTAAAGTGTGCCGAAAGTCGTCTAAAATAGTTTTTTAAAAATCGCTTTTATTCTGCAAGTCAAGGGGTTTGAAATAGAAGTTTTGATCATCTGGAGACTTGGTTGGGGACAGCGGGTAGCAATGGAGCAAAGGCGAAGGAGTCCGTGTGTGAACGGGTTTAACTCGGAGGTGGTGTCTATGTATGAATTAAATTCAATTGAAATTGAATTCAGTTGAAATTGAAATCGAAGTTTATTCTGATTTTTCTGCAAAGATGATAGGGTTTGGAAATTACAGGGCAGTAATTCCAGGAATGAATTTCAATCTGAAACTGGGGAAAATCCATTCGGTGTGGGTTTTTTGTCTTAAATGCGTTTTGAAAATGGGAAGTATCTCGATCTCCTTTAGAATGCTTGTTTGGCACAATACTAGTTGGACGCAGTAGTTTTTCTTCATATTCTGCTAAATGCTATGAATTTATTGCCTTTGGGCATGAACATCTAGCCCTCAAATCAAAGCAATAGCTTTTAAAATCCTTTTGACAGCATTCTATAAATTTGGACAGAAGTGGCACGGTCTACTTAGTTTGATTTTTTTAAAATCCTGATATTGAATAACCCTTTCAATAACCCTTTCCTTTTTTGGATCTATATATACCTTGTATTGTCTTCTTTCTTCCCTGATAAATGGATTCACAAAGAATGGAATAGTTGTAAAAGCTCAGTATGTGTATGTTTGAATGTGTAAAAAAATAATTCCCACAAACTTTGCTTCAATCTTTTGGAGAAGTGGAACCATTAGATTTGTAATAGTTTGCAAGTTCTCATCTTCTCTGGACCTTGTATTAATAGGAACGAAACAAAGAATCACAGAGTACAATGAATATAAGATTAGTTGGGATTTTCAACATTAATTCCTGTTGATTGCATATTAGATCTGCTTCTCTTTTTCTTGCTCTATTGACTTTCATTGCAGGAGCTTGAAAGAGAATGAATCAGGCCTGACAAGTCCACATTCAGTCTCTACTATATATTTCCCTTAAATCCTCCATTATTTGAACCCAAAAGTGAATTAGCATTTCAATTTTTTTCTGTATTCACTCTACAATTGTATATATTGTATCTTAAATGGCATGATTATTATATACATTGGACAAAATGTGCTTATGCAAAGGGAAAGTTAAAAATAATTATGAAGCTTCAGGGCAATAGTAATGGCTACTCTCAAGTTAAAAAGAATGCACTGCAGTAATCAATGTAATGATAAACACTGCATACTTGTGTTTTCCAAGATAACTTTACTGAATCCAACAGTACTTAATTTCCAAGGAAATGTATATAAGATTATAGGCTAATAAATTCTAATTCAAGTTTTGTCTTCTCTCATACTAAGTGCTCTTTCTCCTTTTTGAAGGTGGATATCTTAATTTTTTTTTAACAAAAAGCATGCAGCCCTCCATAAAAATCAAATTGAATTAATTGCCTTTGGTGTCAACCTACAGACTGATTTTCAAACTCACTTCTGTTGAGTTTCCATATAGATTACTTTATGTATGATCTGCTTAACTCCAAAACTATTGCTTGCATATTACAGATCTCATACATATTGTATATTGCTTTGAGAGAAAAATTGGAAGGCATCAGTTGATAAATTCTTGTATAAAGCAGTGCAGGTAACACACACTAGATAGGATTTTTTATCACTGGATTTATACCATCAGTTTGACTTAATAGCTAAGTCCAAAATGGTTGATTGTAGAATTCTGTGAGACATAAAGAAAATTATATTTAAAGAGTATATAAGAATTAATCACTATGAGTAAACTAACCTAGCAATCAAATAAGTAAACCTGATAAAAGGTCATCTTGGATTACTTTCTCCAATTCCAGGTTTGGACATTGGACAGTTTAGCTGAGGAATCTGCTCCTGGAAATACGAGAATTGAAGAGTTTTGCTTGGCTATTCAAGACTTATTAAGAGTTCTCCAGGCATGTTTTGAACAATTGGAAACATTAGGCTTGAACCCATCTTAGGAATGGTGAAATCAGGTATCAATCCTGCAACATTTTCTACAATAAAGTACATGGAACGGGAAACATTTAAATTGGTAGGGAAAAGGAAAGTTTCTGCACAAGATCACTTAAGGCTACGTGACATCCCTGAAAATAAACAGGAAGAATTTCTCAGGTTGCTGACTTGCAGACCAGCGATGAAGCGATGTCCTTTGATCTGAAAAAGACAAAAACCTCAGTAGAGAGAGAAGTGGTTATCTGCTATTAATACAACAAAATCACTAGGCTATGGCAACTGATTCCGTTTATGCAAAAGTCGATCCCCCCCACAGCTGTGTAAATATAACTTGTGATATGGGGTTTTTTTTTGGTGTTTTTTAAAAGGTGCTGATGCACTTCATGGTTTTCATACAAGATGATTTGAGTAAAAGACAATTCCTGTGCCTTAGCAAAAGGTCTTTAGAAAAAGTCATATCAGTTTGGTAAATATTTGGATTGAAAGATAACTTGGCAAAGTAGAAAGGCTAATCCAGATACATTAAATAACATATCTGGATGTGTGGTAATTTTCATTCTCTTAAAGCTGTTTTGGGTTAATCTTACACAACAAAATGTTTCTTTATCTTTCTTTGTGTTTCTTACTTTTTTAAGCACGCTCTTTTTATTTGCATCTTTTCTGCTTCATGCAATTTGGATTGGGATAGAACCCAGCTTTTTAAAATAGAGCATTAATATTGATAAGCCTTGAGTTTTGCTGTGAACTGAATAGACATAATATAAAACGGTGTCCCTTGTACAGCAATTCAAATATTTTCCTCTGCCTTCCAATTAGCCTTTAGATGATCTCAGTTGCACAACCACATGTACACGCTTGCCGGATAGTTTATTGTGGAGTAGAAAGCAGTTGGAGGACATTATGTTTTATTTAGCTTTGCAGGATAATGTTACCGTTGTATATTTGGAATCAAATGTTTTTTATTATTTATTCATAGAACTTACAATTGCTTTTCTGTATGCAAATGGATGTTCTTGAGATTTTATTTCTTTTCCTGGTCATAATGGATGTAAGTACCTAATAACACAAGCATCCAGTTCTGTCCTGAGTAACAATGGCTGGGATTACTCCTTTCCTTTTGCAGGAACAAAATCATCAAGGTCCTTGAGAGAGTGATGGCTATTCATCATAAATCTGAATATGGAGGCCACTGGGACAGATGAAGTAGAGAAAATAAAATCAAAGTTTATATCTGCATGGAATAATATGAAATATGGTAAGTGAAATGTAATAGACTGTTAAAGCATTACTTTTAAAAGTTAGAAAATAATGCAGGCTAGCTTTTGCTGACCATTAATATATTTACTCAAATGACTGCCAACTCTGGCTAAGGTATTGCTGGTTCAAGTGAAACACATCAATAAGAAAAGGAAAAGAAATTTGTTCTGAAGAGATAATGAGGGAAAAAAATAATCAATTTCAGACCTTTTAGGCTGCATGATTTAATTTTGAATGAACTCGTAAGCAGCCAAGTGACTAAATATATTTCAGTTCTACTTTTAATTACAGTTAGTATAATATTGAAATTAATGCTAGGAGCTAGTCTCTGAAATTATGAAGGCATTGAAGGTAGTGGAAAATTTATTTACTTGGATTAAATAAACTGTTTATTAGTGGCATAAATTTAAAATATTACAGAGTTGTTTGATGGGCAACATACAAATTTAATAAATAACTAATCCAAGAATGTTTTTAAAGGATGACTGTCATGTTTTCTATGCCAAAGATGTAATAAATTTGAAGGAAGTTTGCTAGCCATGTTATAGGTGTGTCTATTGCAATTTTTTATTAGTTAGATGTTGTTATTATAATGAACGAGGAAATTGGCAGGCATCTATAAGACAAGTAAAATAGTAAATTATATACTAGAAAGGTGGAACATCTTGATTTGGAAAGAACTTTTGATATATTGGACTGTTAGAAAAAGGTGACTATCTACTCCTGAAATAAATCTTGTGTGCCAAACTATAAAAGTTGTTTTAATGAAATTTGTCAGCTTTCAGACTTTGAATTAGCTTTGTATTGAAGAACAGATGAGACCAGACAATACGATTCTCTGTGTTCTAGTCTGAATACACTGTTTAAAATTTGAATCATAACAAGGAAGTAAAAACAGCAAAATATAATCTTGACACTCCAACTGTCTGACATATTTGTTAATGGTGTTTTTGTATGGGTTGATTATTTTTGTTTAGTTGCTCAGTTAAAGATTTTCCCCCAACAGGCTTTTAAAATCTATTTGGTCTTTTATGTTTTTCTTCTTTTTGTTTTGCTTTTTAAAAGTATTTTTCCCTTGAGTAGTTCCCTCCATGTTGAAATATTATTTGTCTTTTTTTATCCTGCCTTTATTATTTTTTGTAAAGGACTCAAGGCAGCAAATATATCTCATACTTCTACTATTTTCCCCACAACAATACTGTGAGGTGAGTTGGGCTGAGAGAGACTGGTGGCCCAAAGTCACCCAGCTGGTTTTTCATGCCTAAGGCAGGACTAGAATTCAGTCTCCTAGTTTCTACTCTGGTGCCTTAGCCACTTCCTGATTGTAAGAGACACAAATAGGGATAAAAAAAATCAAGATGATGCCTGTAGGACAAATTATGCTATCATCCAGTGTTTCTATGAGGTCCAAAGAAAAGATGCTGCTGCCATGTTTTCTGGGTGCTGGAAGAACATTATTGCACAGTTGCGGTCCATCTGTACCACCTGAGATGAACAAACATTGATCAGCAGTTTTTTAGTTGCCTAGAACAATCAATGATGTTCAACCGGCACAAACATCTGCATTTTTGTGGTCACTCCTGGAAGTTATTTCTCTGTTAGAAGTCACCATGACTTTGCTGTCTAGGAAGTCCACTACACTTGGCCTGAACCGTATTTCTGCTTCTGATCTCCTGACCAGCCTTGACTAGCAGTTATTTCAACTTGCTATTGGCAGTTGATGGTCTGCTTGCACATTTGGCTTGCTCTCAGGTGGTTTTTCTGTCAAAGACGTAAAACCCATTAACTCCAGGAGATTATCAACTCTTGATTGCTTCGACCATTCTTCGCACTCTTCACAAGAGTCTTGCTTAGAACTTTTATTACAAGCTTAAGTTCTCCTCTTTCCAGCCTGCTTTCTTAAAGAGGAGTGTCTGTCTCGAGGCAATGATCTTGCTACATTCTATTTTTTGGGGAGGGTCCCTACCAACCAGGTCCCTTGTGCAATGTTATATTTAAATGTCACCAAGGCATTTAACACCATGTCCCATCAGATGCACTTCTGTATCACTGTCATGGCCCCATCAGATCCTGGTTCGGAGGAAGAGGAGGAATCAGAACTGGGACCATCCAACAGGGATTGTACACTCCCCTGGAACTTCTAGGGCTGGGGGAGGGGAAGTGGTTGATCAGATGGGGAGCTGCCTGCCTTCATGAATGCAGGGGAGATTCAGCTGCAGACAGGCAGTGATGAAAATCTTTGCTGCCACCCTATCCACAGATGCTGAGAGTGGAGTGGAAGGAAGCTCAGAGGAGGTCTGCAAGGCAGCCCACAAGGACGCTGTTCCATCCCTCTTCACAGTAAACAACTGGCTCAGGATGATTTAATCAGAGGCTGAGGGAGGGTGCATTCATTGGAAATAACTAATTGTCTTGGCGCTCATGCCTCTGGATTTGCATACCCTGCTTTGTAGACTGACTGGATTGTGACTTATGGACCTTGTTTTGCAACTCTGCACTGGATTTGTGGGCTTTGACTTCCTGTTTGGGGGCTTGGTTCTGGTAGCTCTTGGACTCATCTGGTGGGACTAAGTTACATTGATTGGTGGCGGTTGTTTGTGATGAAGAGTAGAGTTTTACCAACACCTCTGGAGGGCCCGTTTGTCTTGTTTAGCAGTGCAGTAAAAGACTTTATTGGTGCCTTCATCTACCTATACGACCTGAGTCAGCACAGTTACCTCCACTGCAGGTCTACCTTCTCCACTGAACCTATATCTGAAGAATCTGTATCAGTGTTCTATGGGGCAGCTTGCAGATTCTTCCATCAAATGTGAAAGGGGTGTATGTCAAGGCACTCCTCTATCCCCACTCCTACTCATGATGGTTATCAACAACATCTTGTGAGCTTCATTGTCTTGCGTTGGATTCAACTTTGATAACCAGCAGATCAACTTGGCCAATGACCTGGTTCTTCTGGCAGAGAGATCCACCAGACTGCAGGAAATGTTGGACTGTGTATCTAGAAGTATCCACTCACCCAGTATGTCATTGAATGCGAAGAAGTCCTTTCACCTCATGATCCCCAAAGGCAGGAAGCAGATATATATGGCCCTGTAATACCAACCGCCTATTACTTTGTGGCATCGCCATTCGCCCACTAGGCCCGGGATCACTTGATGTAATACCTAGGCCTGCAGTTTAACTGGAAGGGATGAGTCATCCCCAAACATACCAACATCTTGGATGGCATGTTGCAAGCCATTTCTGAGACACCCCTTAAGGTGCACTAACATTTGGCTGCTGCAAATCTTATTTGGTGTGAAAATTTATTCACGAACTTGTTCTTGGTCAAGCACATTATAACATCTTAAAGAAGCTGGACTGCTTGGTCCATTCCTCAGTGAGACAGTGGCTGTGAGTACTAAAGGATACTCCCTTGGCATACCTTGGTTCCAATGTCAAGGACAGGGAGCTGGGGTGGGGGGAAGTTCCCTGTTTCTCCACCTCTACTGTGCTTCTACAGAAGGTCTGGCTTGAAAAAAATTTCATCGAGTTCCACCACACTGCTCAAGTTGTCTAGCGACAAGACACATTTTGCTCCCTTGGGAGCCAAATAAAGCCATGCAAGGTGACTCTGTTGCCATCATCTCTAAAGTAAAAATGTGGACTGAGTGGAGGAATGCTGTCGCCCAATCCCATCGACGACCAAGAGTCAAGCATCACTGACATGTACAAAGCCAGTCACGAGTAGTTGTTGCACTCAATCTGGGTGCTCCCTCGCTTATATTTATGGGACATCCAATCGATGGGCAGTTTACTCTCTATCAAGTCAAGGAGTGTGCGTGGCACCTGTCATCAGGTGGTTGATTAAGTGCTGCAGAGGCACCTGCTGTGCTCCTGAAACTTTGAACCACATGCTTCAAATTTATAAAACTACCCATGATGCAAGATGCGCACCTCACAATCGTGTTTTCTGTCACTTGGAACAACTTTTGCGACAAGACTGCGTCTGCTCCTGGGTTGTGAGCCTATTATACCATCTGGGGCCTCATTCATCAAACCAGATTTAGTCTCAACAGCTGTGGGTTTTGGATGTTTCTTAAAGTTTCTGGTTATAGATGGATGGAATCCTGGGACTTTAAAATGACTAAGTACAGTCAGGCTGGTCACATCAAAGATCTTCAGAGCTGGCCAGGCTCTTCTGCTCAGGTGTACCATCTGCCAGTCATCATTTCTAACTAGGGACTGATCCATGGGTTGTAGTCTTTGGGCATTGGTGATATCACAGATCTCTGTTTACTAACCATTAACGGGTTGCTCAAGTATTGCAATTTATATATTCGTGAGACTAACACTGGCTGTGTTTGATATTTTTATGAACAATCTCAAACATTTTTGTGTTACCACCTGCTGTGCAGCAATGCCTCTTGCCAGACTGTAAAATAACAATTTGTCACCTTAGAGGGTTGACTTGTGGAGGGAGGGGTGATTTGTTGCAAATTCCTCTCCTATATCACTGCCCTTTGTAATAATAAATGATACCTAGTTTCTAGCCTGGTGCTTTAACCATCTTTTGGGTAATTGAGATGGGCACAGGGTTAAAAATATCATGATGGTGCCTGTACTCGTACAATCAATACCCTGCTTCGATGATTGCATGTTAAAAGGGGCTGAGTTTTAATTCTGTGGCTATTATCTTGACAGTGAGCATTAGGGGGGATTTCTTTTTATTAGATACCTGTATGTTTTCATGTAATGTTGCTTTGATATATAATGATTTTTAAGAAATGTTAATTGTAACATCTTAAAACGTAATTTTTTAAAAAGAGAAACTGATTTAAAGAATGAAAGAAAAATACTTGTTTAGAGAATTAAGTTAGTTTGAGGCTTAATTATGATATTTTGAAAACTAAGCCCACACCTTCATTTTGCTCCCATCTTTAAAATACGCTAGAATGTGTTTCAGTTTAAAACAGAAAGTTACTATTTTTTAATTTCCTTGATTTATTTTTTACTTTTACTAGATGGAACAGCTTTTTAAAAAAATCTATGTTTGTCTTTGTTTGTAGGCTGGGTACTGAAAACCAAAACTTACTTTAGCAGAAATTCTCCTGTATTTTTGCTGGGAAAATGCTACCATTTCAAGACCGATGGTATGTGTACCTAATTTTATATCCGAATGGCTCTTGGTTTTGTTCTTACATTTACAAAACAAAACCTTGCATTTTACTTTTGCGGGAGCTTCTGAAAATACTTGCGTATTAGATCAGTTCAGATATATGCTTACCTCCTGAAGGAAAAAAAAAAGACTGCAAAAGAAGTTGGAAACATACACAAGTTCTGAAGTTGATGTCTGAATCTGTTCTGAGCAGGAGAAAAGACTGTTTCTGTTTTGACAGTTCTTTCCCATGAAAGAATTGTTGGGTTAAGACTGCTTTGATAATCAGCTCAAAGCAGTGCTTTGTCTTGATTTATCTTCTGAAGAGAAGAAATATGGTAACTTTTAACAAGATCCTTGAACTCTACTAAGAGAACATGTCCTTGCTGTTTACCAAAAGCTGTTTGTTTTATCTTTCTTCCGGTGGCTGAGTCTGTAAATGCTATTTAAAGCTGTAGAAAATTACCTTTTCTTACAAAAAGATGTACGGTGTTAATAAGCTGGGGATAATATGTTCATGTTTTCACTTCTTTTACAACATGTACCTCTTACAGATGATGTCTCTCTTACAGAGCCCAGTGACCAGTCACCAAATGGTTCCTGTGATGACATGACAGAAGAAAAGTTTTCAAGAAATGTTGAAGAGTTCCGTAAAGACTTTGTTTCTAGGATATGGTTGACTTACAGGGAAGAATTTCCCCAAATCAAGGGTTCAGTTTTAACAACAGATTGTGGTTGGGGTTGTACTTTGAGGACTGGCCAAATGCTTCTGGCTCAAGGACTTATTCTCCACTTTCTTAGTAGAGGTAAGTTACTCAGATTTGTGTGGAAGAAAATGTTTATGCTTGATAAATCTTAAATTTGAGGAGGCTTCTCTTATCAGAGTTTCTAACCAGCACAGACAGCCTATCTGAAAAAAATTAAATGTAAACCATTTAATTTCAGTTAAATCTTAGTACAATATCATAGATATAATGTTAACTTTCTTGGTTAATATGAAATTATAAGAACAAAATATTTGACAATAATTATCATAATGGTTTCTCTTGAATGGATGTCTTGCGGCTGTTGTTACATTGCTGGCTTAAGGTCAGTGCTGGGATGCTGCTGGTTTGGTAGTTCCGACAATCAGTTGGCTCCACCCACCCACACCTGCCCTATCCTTTATTTCCTGCTTTATAGTTCATTATCGCGCAGCACAGCTGATTCCCCCCCCCCCCCCAGATCTACTTACTGCTGCTGACATGGAAGGTAAGCAGTTGAGCTTCTAAATGCTCTATTTTCAGCACTCTACGCAAGTGCCTTAGGCGCATGTTCATCGAACCAGTTGTTAAACCAGCAGCATCCCATCACTGCTTAAGCTCCATATTATTGTACATTTATGCATTTAGTTTAATTGAAATACTTATTGTAGAGTTGCTAAATTACCCATATGCAGCATTTTCTTATGGAATAGCTAACTTTAAATATTTAATATGAAGCAGGACAACAAAGAGGTAGTAAGTTTTTAAATAAGTTAATGCCAGAGCAATCTGTAATCTTCACCGACCTATAATATAATATGTTTTTAATCCTATCACAGACTGGACTTGGGCCAATGCCTTTGTTTTTGAGAATCCAGAGTCTGAATCATGGACAACTCAGACAGTAAAAAAGCTCACAGCATCTCTTGAAACATCACTTATAGGAGAAAGAGAATTCAGGAACCAGTCAAATCACCCTAAAAGTCCAATACGCATCCGGGAAAATGAAGAAAGCATAGAGGAGCAGTATCACCGAAGAATCATATCTTGGTTTGCTGATTCACCACTTGCCAATTTTGGCTTGCATCGGCTGATAGAATATGGAAGGAAGTCTGGAAAAACAGCTGGAGATTGGTATGGGCCAGCAGTGGTAGCACACCTTTTGAGGTAAAAACAAAATTCTTGACAGAACAAATTTGGTTAAAAACAGTAGACTTTTAAAAATGGGTCCTGATTAAGCATGAAAAAATTCAATATTCCTTTCAATTTCTGATTCCTGAAATGTTCCCATGGGGCCTCGAGACAAGAAAGATAACCTGATACATTATAAACTTAGCTTTTAACTACAGTATCTTTTAATGATATGTTATAAAAACTAGAACCGTAGACTTCCTGTTTTAATATACTGATAGTCTAAGGCAGGAGTCTCCAACCTTAGCAACTTTAAGACTTGTGGACTTCAACTCCCCGATGCAGTTCTGGGCGTTGAAGTCCACAAGTCTTAAAGTTGCCAAGGTTGGAGGCCCCTGGTCTGAGCTGTCAGAGATTTTAAAAAACACTGAAACCATCAGTTTTAAACATATCAAATTCTTGTGAGATGTTCAGTGTATAGGTTTAGTAATAATTACATCTAAATAAAAGTAAAAGTCTGACATTCAGCCTCGTCTTTATATGAAAGTCACATTTCTGAGTATAAATTTCTGTTGCCATTGTTTGCGACAATATTTTTATAGTTTTATGCTTTGCAATTTTACATAGTCTCCTAATGAAAATAATCTAAAATCCAGGTGTAATCATATATATATATACGTTCTGTCTCACTTTTCTTCTTTCCCAAAAGATGAAAGAATACAAACTCACACAAACACAGGCAGGCAAGCTGGCTCGGACTTCACAGAGTTAATTCTTTGGAACTGATAATATCCTTGGCATTCCAACACCCTCTGCCTGCCAAGTCCGAACTGATAACATAAAAATCTACTCACAGAAAATTACAAGGCAGTCCACAAAAATCATTCATGAAGAAAAACTGAAGTAAGATTAAACTTTGTCCCGTACAAAGTTCCAGCCGAAAACACACCCACCTTTATCCCCTGTGGGGTGTGGCTCAAAGACTCAGCTCAGTTTCTGACCCTCCCAGGCCTCCTACATTGCTGCTCACATTTCTCCCTACGACGCTGCTTAGGATCAAGCCAACACTCTTCCTCTTTACTCCCTGTCAGGGGCTGCTCCGATATGCCTTCCTCCTGATTAATCTCAGGCTGTTCCTCTCGGTTGTCTGATGCAACCTGAGGCATTATCAGGGAGGAAGGCATTGCCAGAGAGGAAGGTCCTGGGGAGGAAGGCATTCCCAGTTCCTCCTCCTCATCTGCCAGGTCTTCTTCCTCTGACAGCATAGGCTCGGGAATCGGGGCCACAACACACACACACACACACACACACACACATATATATAACAAAAAAATATATATAACAAAAATTTGTTAATTTTTCTCCCACATTTTGGTAAATAATTTACATGCTTAGTTGGTATATATGCTTTTGGAAACAATTTAATTGGCCATTTTTTCATTGAAGATCTGTTCTTTCCCTCTTCAAGTTTTGAGTCTTCAGGTATAGAGTTAAAAGTTAAAAATTGTGCTTCTTTGGAATTGTTTGTTATATCAAATAGTATAACAAACATATGCGTAGTGACAGGCTTGTTATAACATACCAAAATGCTTCTGTCCCTCAATGGCAGCTTAGGTCACATGCCCTCCAAATAATTTTGATGGCCTCAAACAAGGATGTTCCAAAACATCAGGATTATCATGGAAAAAGCAAGACTTTAAGTTATCTTACTTGAGACGGAACATTAAGCAGTACCTATTCTTGTGCATTTCTTTCAAACATTCTGATACTACTTGTGAATCTTATGACCCTGTCCACTTTTTGTTTCTTTGTACCTATATCAATACAACATGATAAATTTAATAATGTATTGGCCTTTTTTTAAAAAAAAAAGTGTTTATCATATTTTACAGTCTAAATTGCATGTGTTTACATTTGTCATCTTTTAAAACTGGCTTTTTAAACTCTTGTGACTTTTTCTAGAAAATATTTCCTGAGGACTGTGCAGTTTTAATTCTTTTTGTGGCTTACTTGAAATGTGTCTCTTGTGTATATTTTTAGGAAAGCAGTTGAAAAAGCAAGGGACCCTGAATTACAAGGATTAACCATCTATGTTGCTCAAGACTGTACAGGTAAGAGAAAGTATTATATGCTTCAAAAAACATTTATTGAGAGCCTGAAAGTATAATATTAGAATCAAAGGTTCTTAGATGAATAGTTTCTCGTGGCATAAGGTGTTCTTTAAAATTAGACCGAAAGTGTTCCATCTTATTTAATTCTTAAAGAATTATACATTTACAGACTTATAGTCTTGTAGACTTATATATGCCTAGCCTACAAAAGGAAAAGTGTATTACTAAATTATTTACAATTTTCTATATCAAGCCATTACAAAATTACATCTGACAGAATTTTCTATTCAAAACATATTAAAACATTTTAAATAAATTTAACAGGAATGTATGGTTGGTTCAGCATTTGACTGAAAAGAAAGCAAATCTTTTGGTATTTTACTTAGGAAAGTAAAGTACATTAGGATCACATGAGCCACTTAATTGGGTCAGTGGGTGGAATGTGGGATGTTGCATAAACACTAACAGTGAGTTTATTGATCCACTAACCCTGAGGGCACCAATTGTAGCTGGGCACTAATTGTAGCTCAAAACAGAGCTGTGCTTGAACGTCTCCTAGTGAACAAACCCCTGTGTCACCTACAATCTTTATGAAGTGTTAACTATCCTTCATGACATCTGTCAAAGGGGATGTAGAAATGCATTGGGATAAATTCAGAATCTGCATTCCTGGAATTTAATTTTTTTTTTGTTGCCTTCGGGAGGGGGAACAGACCAGCATGTTGCAGGGCGTAAGAATCCTAAACAATTATAATTGTTGCATGGACTTCTACATTTTTAAATAATATTTGGAAAAGAAATGTGATTGAAAGAATGTGAAATGCATATTCTGATTTGCCTAGCAGGATGTGCATGTTCTCAGTTTCTTTAAAATCTGCCATAAAATGGTCTTCTGAACCCACTGGCTCCGTTTTGGACTCATTCTTTTTTCTTGTAATATGTTAAGTGATTTTTTTTTGCTAGTCTCTTACCTACATACAATAATTACTCTATTGGTTTTGGAGGTTAAATGTTTAATGCAGAATCCCAGCAGTATCTGCAAAAAAATGTGGGTTGGGAGTTAAAATCAGTAAGATATTTTGTTGTAACCCAAACGACCCTGTCTCTTTTGTTTGTGGGTTGATATTGTAAGTACAAAAGGGATGGGCTTGTATTCATTCATGAAATCTGCCATCTTGTCAGTTTTAACACACATGTGCATAGTACAGGCCCCTATCAAAGCCATCACTGGTTGGTGGCATTTGTTGCGTTTTCACACATCAATGCACACTAATAAAATGAAATGACAAGATGGTTTTTTTTGCTTTTTTTAATCCGTATAAGATGTTTTGACAAAACTTAGTTTGCGCTTAAAATGCATTTCAGTAAAGCTTTCTTCTGTTTCTCTTTTAAGTTTACAAGTCCGATGTTATTGATGCTCTCTGCCCTTTCACGGATTCTGGAAAGACAAGTGCCAAATCTGTGATTATATTAATTCCTGTCAGGCTTGGTGGTGAACGGACCAATATGGAATACTTTGAGTTTGTGAAGGTATGAAATGAGTCAATCACTTTTCAGAATGGGACACTAAATAGCACGAAGATTGAAAATGGTAATTAACCTATTAATAATTGAAATTTCAGTATGCAGCTGAGATTGAAAATCCTAAGTATTAAAAGTAAGCTAGTACAGCTATCCCGGACCCTAAATAGCTATCTTTCTGCTGTAGAGTTCACCATAAAGACTGAACTTGTTTCACACTTTTGGCCGATTTCTTCAGGGATCAGATAGCTTCCAATTTTTTTTTTCATAAAATGTAAAGATTATTACTCCCAGTAACATCAGCAATAGGCCATCTCTGAAATTGGTTTTCCCATCGAAGGATAAAGGACCACTGTGTTAATTTAGTAGGTACATAGATTCATATTAGGGGTTCCGCGAAGTGTTTTGCTTCTTGAGCCAAATATTTGGAGAGAGAGAGCAAATTAGGTTAGAAAACTATTTGTAGTGGGGAAAAATAGTAGGGGGTTGAACCCTTCTTCCAGAGTATCTGGTTTTCTTAATTATTTGCCTCACGCTAGCTAAGTCTAGTTCTTTACAATACAGTAGTTCATACCCTGTCTAGCACACAAGCCACGTAAACCAAAAGATCCGGTAACCCCAGAAGAAAAAACAGGAGCCATCTGCAACATACAATGTAAGAACTGCAACGACCCCTATGTAGGACCAACAGGCAGAAGACTGACAGAACTCATCCATGAATCCCAACTGGTAGTCTGAAGACATGATGAAAATTCTTTAATTTCACAATATATAGAGAGATTTAACCCTAGTTTCAATTGGGAAAATGTGACAATCCTAGACCAGGCCAAGTCCCAAAATGATGGGAAATTTCTAGAAGCCTGACACTCTAAAAAAATCAGTGATCAATAAACACATAGACATTAACATCTGTAGACTATGCAAAAGAGACAATCAACCAGCCCAAAAGAGAAAAAGACTCCAGCACCTCTCCACCAGTAATCAGCACTCAGATCAGCATAGGTTAACTCCAAGGTTAACTTCAGGCCAACAATCAAGTAAACAATACCCCAATCAAGAAACTGCCAAAGAGCCATCACACCCCAACCAAAGAATCTCTTAAGACTGCTCCTACCCACACAGGCAGGCAAGACACCAGAATATAAACTGACAGCAAACAGCACTCCTTATTAGCATTGATGATGTTATCTGGTTAGGGTAATGAAATGTCTGAAGAAAAAAAGCAGGCTCAAAGAGCACCAAGGACACTTTTCAACTCTGAGCTACAAATATTTTACTTTATTAGTTCACATCCTTCTGTCAGTTTATTTGCACACTTTCCTATCTCTCCTGCAAACCCTCCCCCCGCCCCATTATCCTTTGAAAAAGAGATCTAAAAATGAATTTGAAAAATAATTTACTCTTGCCCTGTAAAAATCCTTCGAACCAATAGAGGCCTAAGGATAGAGAGAGCATAGAAGTTGTGTCAGCAGGCATTTGGCTTTTGAATCTCATTGGAAGTATTTAATATCGGAAATGACTCTTTCATACATTGTCCAGAATTCTTGGATGTGCTTTAAATATTGTAAATAAACAAATAAACAGGGACGAAAGAAAGAAAAAATAGTCTTCACTTTCGTTCTCATATAAGAAGAAGCCATGTCATTATTGAGGGCCTTATATGCTGTTTGAAGATGTAACAGGAAAAATACAACAGAAGCCATTTGGCTGAATCTAAGAAATTATAGTATTTTCTATCATTTAGTAGCTATCATGTAAGACAAGGAGAGCTGTGACAGTCACACAATTACAGCATATTTTGCCTATGTTGATATGTTGCTTGATAATTATAAGCACCAGGAAAACCTAATATTCTAATAAAACTTGTTCCATAGGGTCAGGATAGTTGGAAGAAATCAATTGCCAACTGAAATATTTGGATTTTTAGTCTCTTAAAATAAAATGTGGACGTATTCTGTTAAAGGAAAGTAACACAGCACGTATCTAAAGAACCTTTTGGTTCTTTAGGAACCGGAAGTCTGGATGAAAAGATAAGACAACATCAGACAGATGTTGCAACAAAGCCATGGACTTTTTTATTAGTATTCCGTAAGGTAACAGTCAAGGAAATGAAGATGGTAAAGAGGAGAATGGGAGGACAGGGTGGAGACAGATTTAACAGATGCTAGATCTTTCTCATCTATAGCCTACAAAGATAAAATGGACTGTAACTTCCTCCTTTTTTTGATTAATAGCTGATACAGGGGCCAGAACTCCACTGATTCTTGGGCTAACAGATCTCTATTTTGCAATCTTACCCTAGGATGTTTTCTATAATTTCTTACAGTATTTGAAAAGCTGCAATCCAGAGCTTATCCATGTAGGATTTATTGTTCCTGTTTGTAAAAGATTCTATTTATACATAAGCATTTGCATATTGAATGCCTTATTATTTTTTATCAGCTAAAAATAAAGAGTTCATGTTTGTGCACTAAGGGATATGCAAACACCTTGCATTCTAAAATCAAAGGCCAAAGGTCTAAACTTGTTACATTGCAATCTCCTATCATAAAAGTCTAAATTTCAGTTCATCTACTCTTATGGAACAGGGAATTTTGAGTCTTGACTACTGCATTGGCATTATTGGAGGCAAACCTAAGCAGTCATACTACTTTGCTGGATTTCAAGGTTAGTGTTTTAACATAATATATCCTTTTTTTTAACATGGCATATCTCTCCCTCTTTTATCTCTGTTCCAAGAGCTTTGGAGTTATTATAAGACCCACAGAAAGAAAAAAAATGATTAAGAGATTTCTTTATTAATTTATCAGACCCACAAAGTCCACTCATTTGTCATTTATCCCATGTTATAATTAGATTTTGTGAAAACGTATATTTAATTTTCCTTGTTGCACAAACAAGGCACAATTTACCTCTTCCATCAAACTCTCTGAGCCTTTTCCTGCCTACTTACCTGGCAGATCCTAGTTATGTATTTATCCTTTAGTAGTTTAAATGGTGCAAGTTGATGATCAAATGACAAGCAAATATGTTCTTCCTGTCACAATGAGGAAATACGATGCATTTTTCATATGCAAACTCAAGGTATATAATTGTGTGTTTGTAAAAGTAATTTCATCTCCAAAAATTAAATGACAGTCTTATCGCTTTATCAAAATTCTGCTTCTACAAGCATCTTTGATTATGCAGAAGTTAATCTGTCCTGGAAAAACCTCAGTCAATGAATATACTCTGGCAGACAGTGACTTGTTGAGGGGACTCTTACCTCTACCCCCCCTCCTGTTCTGCATAGAAATTGGATTGTAAGCAGTGTAATAATATGGTGTTTTTTGAATTACTTGTCTTTTGTTTTGTCCTTGTAGATGACAGCTTGATTTACATGGATCCTCATTATTGCCAGTCTTTTGTAGATGTCAGCGTAAAGGATTTCCCCCTTGAGGTAGGATGGATAAAGAACAGCAGTGTTTGCTTCATGGATGAACAAAACACTAATTATTAAATCATCCCTTCCTCCTCATGTTCCTTTTAGATCTAGAGTAAACAAAAAAAAAAACCCACCTCTGTCAAATGTTGATCTTTTATATATAATATCAAATACACTGCCATAGTTTTTGTGAGGTTGCCTGGATCACATTTTTAACTTGAGAGAATTCCATATCTTAAAAGGATCCCATTGTGTTAGCAGCACAGTCTCTGTCCTGTGACTTTCCTCCCTCAGGCTAGTTTGTCCTGTGCTGCGGTTAGAAGAATTTCAAATGTTGGATATCCAATTTCACTGCCGTAGGAAGGAGAGTCTTCCAGAGGTGTTTGACACAATTATGTTCATAAATGTTTAACCCAAAGTCAAATGCTTCAGGTGCTGACACTACTCTAATAGGAAAGCTATTTCTTTCTCTCAGATGCAAAGATGGCTCAGTAGGAGCCTGGAAAGTATGAGGCAAGGAAACAAGCAGACTACCTGCTGAAGCCTCCAATCAAACCTATATCATTGACTAATTAATTGCTAGATTTTATATATTGCTTCCATTCATTGCCCCTAGGCTAGTCTTTAAGTTGTTGAGGTTATCTGTTATACATTAAATGTTCAGGCCTCTGTTATGTGGAGATCTTTGACCTATGGGAGCAGACCATGAGCAGATGAAATTCAGTGTCTTGTATATATTGAGTTCTTTGAAAAAATGTGTGTGTGTGTGTGTGTTTGTACTGTACAGTGAAGATTGTACAGGAAAATATAGGGCTTCTGATTCTACTTCACATTTTTTGCAATAAGAACTTTTGACTCTGGCTGGCTTTTAATAAGGCTACTTTTTCAGACCCAATGTGGGACTTCTCTGAGATCTTACAGTGCTGCTGATATATCTCCTTGATACTATGCCTCAGAGAATTGTCCCGATTATGTTGCCAGCTGTTCTAAATACTCTGCAGTGAATTTGAAGTTCTAGGGTTAATCCTGCTTCCCTCTTTGAAACTTAGAAATGGACATCCGTCTCATTGATCAACTTCAGTTAGTCCTTCAGTTATTTGTAGCTTTTCAAGCTTACATATTTCTACTAGAAAACTTCATTGAATTAAATTGCACAATTGCCTTTTACTTGAATGTAATAATCAGATATATCAAATTTGCTTACTGTTGAGTTTTTCGGATATTTTGTAATCATCTCACCTTCTATCTTGAATATATCTGAACTTTTGAGATATGAAGACAAAATGATAATTTGTTTTTCAGTGCAAGAAATTTATCTGAAACAGACGTTTTATGATGTGGTGAAACAAGTGCTAAAGCAGCTAAAAATATTCAAATATCTTTCTAGTTTTCTATGTTTTTTTAGTTTTCTGTATTGCAGATTTGTAGTACTATGTGCAACTGAACATTATAGAGATGGAAAGTAAAATATAAAAATAAGAAAGTAAATAAAGTAAAATAAGAAAGCTCATTAATATAATTTTTCAGTTGTTTACGCACTATGTTAAGTGGTTGATCCAAAAAGCGTATCAATTAGTCTCAATTATTACTACATACTAATAAAGTAACATTGTACATTGAGAACATTGAGAAACTAATTTATGTAATGTCTGTATATACTGATTTCTCTTATTATATTAATTTGTTGCTTAAATTTCTGTTTTCCAATTAAAGGTAATTAATAGCGGCTCAAAAACAATTTCTCAAAATGTCCATTAGGAAATTTGCCATTCCATTAAGAAATCTTTGCTGGCTGATGTGCTTTTAGTTTGGTATTCTAATTCAATACTATCTTTACTGTTTGGCTGAATCTCTCTGGGATTTCAAAGTGAAGTCTTCCAGTCCGCCTCTACCACCACTTGCCCGCCATCAGCTTTTTGCGTGTTGGTTTCATTCAGAAAGCCAAAAGATCTCCGAAGTCCTTTCCCCCTTTTATAGAGAGGAGAATATGAGGGTTGGACTTAAATATCTTTTACCAAATCTTTTAATGCTCTCTATGAATAATAATATAACAAAATTTGCACATTTATATGGGGATTGAATAATAAAATAAAAATGGGGGGGGCGGGAATGAAGCAAAACACACTTGTCTGAATAATTCTGCCAATGTGTTTGTTCCCCCACCTCAGTGTTATGCCACATTGTTGGTGGCTGAAATATTATTTGAGAAGCAAATGACGGTTATGATAGCGTAATTTATTTTTCCTGTTGAAAGCCTAACCTTCATCTGTTGCATGTAGATATTTGATAACTACTCAGGAACATTTGCATCGTAGGCCTTTTCTCTGATGCTTATTAACCATTTGAAAATATTATATGCAGTCTTTCCATTGCCCTTCTCCAAAGAAGATGTCATTTAAAAAAATGGATCCGAGTTGCACCATAGGATTGTATTGTCGTGACGTCCAGGGTTTTGAAAGAACTGCTGAAGAAATAACGAAGGTAAATTTTTAGATGAAGAAACCAATGTAATTCTCATTTGCTTGGTTCTATTTTATGCTATCCATTTTAATGATACCAGAAGAATTTTAATTACTGTCCTAGTACGCCCAAACCACCCCCCAAAATAACCCCGTCTCAAAGGCTTGTAATCAGAGGAGGAATTCAGCAGGTTCTGACCAATTCTGGAGAACCGGTAGTGGAAATTTTGAATAGTTCGGAGAACTGGCAAATCCCACCTCTGACTGGAGATTTTACAGTATCCTTCTCCTGCCACACCCACCAAGCCACACCCACAGAACCGGTAATAAAAAAATTTGAATCCCACCACTGGTTGTGATCCTATTTAATTGGTGCAATGAAAATCTGCAAAAGATTTAGAAACGTCTCAAGGAAAGATTCAGTAACAAGCAGAGTAATTGTAGCAAAATTTAATATATTTGCAGTGCATTATCTCTTTTTCTTATTGAGATTTAACTGCATTTTAAAATTAACTTTGAAGTGACTATATTATGACAGAATATGAACGTAGAAGATATGCACATAAGGGTTTTATCCAAGTTAAATTATTTCTGATACCATAAGACAGTCTTTCCTAACATGGTAACCCTCTAAATGTCCTGGGGCTCTGAATTCTGAGTGTTCGGGTTCTAGCAAACCTAGCAGTTTCCAAATAGAGTAAAAACTGGTTTAATTCAATCCTTCTCCCTGACAGTCAAGTAGAGGTCTATTCCACCAGGTGGCAGCATTTAAACAAAAATATATCTACAGAAAATCCCTTTTCCAGTCATTAGGCTGAAGAAGTATATTGTGACAATCAATTTCTAGGGGAGGATTTTAAATGGAAATATTAAATCAAATAAATTGTAGATTATTTCTTCATTAGTTGAAGTATGTTCATTACATTTACACTTTAAATATTATTATGGTGTTTTAGCACCACTTTAAATAAAGGTATTTCCCAGAGCGTTTGTTCTAGTGTATTTGAAAAAAATTAAAATAGTTATACTTAAGGCATGGAAAGAAAGCTGCTACTATATTTTTGCAATAAAATATTTCATTTTCACTTTATCTGTGCTTGTCCATATCTGCTAATCTCTTCATTTTCCTTAAGCTGTCATACATGATTAATTTTGTCCAGTTAGATAATTTTATATGTCACTTTATTGGGATGATTAAATGGACTTTTATATTGTACTTTTATTTTCTTCTTTCAGCTTCTATAAAATTCAGAGCTACTATGTTTATTATTTATTAAATTTAAGGTTTAAGAAGCCAAATTGTGTAGGTCAAAATAATATACCGTTAGTACTTTTTAGTATCTCAGGCTGATTTAGCTTTGCTTTTTAAAATTATTTGATAATTCACATCAAACTTTTTGTCAAACCTGGGGAGGGGAAAGTAAAATGTATGCTTTACCATGGGTTATTTTTAACTTCACTTAAAAAGAACTTCTTGGGCTGTAGGAAGATAAAGGGTACTTCTTAGGGCTGGAAAGTTCATAAGTGAGATGACATTTGAATTAGGGATTTTAAACCTTATAGTTTGCACTGGCAGTCAAATTCCCAGTAGTTTTCAGATATGAGAATTCTCTCTTTCTGGAAGGAAGCAACGTTTAAAATTACTTTTCCTCAGAAAAAAAATCTTCCTATTATTTCTAATTTTCTGGTTGAAGGGTAACATTTTACATACAATTCATTCCAAAATCATCTGTGTGGGAAAAATAGTGGTATTAGAAACCAACTGTTGATCAGGAATATAGAAAGCTTCAATTTTATTAAGCTTCAATTTTATTAATTTTATTATGCCTTAATAAAAAGAAAAATATTCTGCTAGTGTGTGGGGGAATTAGATCTGCGTTTATCTTAAAAGCATAGCCACAGTTAGGGCCGTGTTCTTCTTCTGGAGGGCACATTCTTTGCTTCATTTTTGAAAGCCAAGTTGTAGCTTGGATATTTTGAATCAAGAGAAAACCAGAACTATATGCCAAAAGTTTGGAGAATGTCAAAAAGAAGCCATGAAGGTGGTTTCTGTTGGGTAAATGAATTTCAGATCGCCAGTGGTTTATACAGCTGTCACATATCTTAAGAATCGTCAGTATAGAGAGAGCGAAATATTAGTACAATTATTTTCCCCAAAATAGCTACTGTAATATTGCACTGTTCTAAGTTGCCATACATTTTCTTTAAATTTAACGTATAGGATGGTGTAATTAACTTCAGAAAGTAGAAGCCTCGTCTTGTGACTCAAAGAATATGTAATGCTGTATTGCTAGACTAAGCTCAATTTACATTGTCTGGCTAAGTGATCTGTAATGTGGCAGCTATCCTGAACAAAGAGCAAAGTAGGTAGTAGTGAGATTCTTACTTGGTGGTGGCTGTCAAATTATAAGACGCCTGTCAATTAATAGGAGGAGTTAGCCTGCCAGCTAATTTCACAGGCTACCAAGCAGGCATCAGAATGCCATGAACTTTTGTTATTGATGAGAGCTGAATTGATCCAGTAGCCAAACAATAAAAAGTCTCTACCTAATTATCATGTCCCTTGAGATGATTTGTCATGAACTGCCACCTTACAGATGTCCCTTTCTGATTCTCCTTTTTCTTCTTCTTTCTCAATCCTACTTCTTTTCTGGATTATCTGGAAGATACAATTCAGGAAGCGTAGAATAAAGTTGAAAACTACAGAGCACAATAAAATATCATGGAATCCGAATTTACTTCAGACAATTTTCCAGGAGCTTGCTGGTTCTCTCTAAAACGCTTTATCCCATTTGAATAGTTTGCTTTTTTTCCCAATACATCAGATTAATATTGCTATTAATATTTTTCCGAGATAGATTTTACCAGATCCTTATGCACTTTATCTGTAGACCAATATGCTGTAGTTTTATAAGATATTGAAATCATTTATGCAATTTAAATGATTAAAATTCTAGCAGTCGCCAAAGCCGATGCAGAATAATAAATATGAGTCAGAATATTGTTAGTTCAATTTTGCCTTGCCCAAGAAGTGATTAAATGTTACTTTAATAGGAAATATTTGTTGACTGTGTTGTCGTTATAAATATGGTTTACAGTGTGCACTTTTCTGAAGAGGAACATGAGAAGAAACAAAAAAAATTGTAAGGGAGATGATTTAAACAATTGTGCATTTTGCTTCAAACTGATATGCTTACACTCTTGGCGTTGATCTTCTAATTCATGTTCTTTTTTCCAATACATTTCACTGTAGATTCTAAAATCCTCATCTAAAGAGAAATATCCCGTGTTTACTTTTGTAAACGGACATTCCAGAGACTATGATTTTGTGGCGAGTCCAGTCCAAGAAGAGAAGACAATGTTCTCTGAAGATGAACACAAAAAGTTGGCGTGTTTTAATAATGAAGACTTTGTCTTGCTATGAGGACATTTTTATTTATTCATTTAAATGTTTTTTTATGCTCAGTCTTCACAGATGTTACAAAATGGCTTAACTAGAGGCTGCCAACAACATAAAAATCATAATTAAAAGTAATTAATAAAAACTTGTGGCATTAAGCAGTAGACTACCAAGGACTATCATCACTGATCAGTTGTTGAAAACTTGTTTTCTGGCTCCCAGCAAAGAGAGTCCTAGAATTTAAGACTAGGCACCACTGCCCAGTAGTCTTTGCTTTGCATAACAATGTACATCACTTCAGTTGGGAAATGACAGAATGGACACTCAGTGGCGACTCAAGTCTGATGTACTAGAATCATCAGTCTTTCCAGCAGGGGATATTAAGCCCAAACTGTCTGAAGTCTGTTAGTTTAGGTAAGAAAGAAAAGAAAGTAAATTGGACAGGAGGAATTCTTCATAGGAACAATGTAAAGCATTTAAATATTCCCTTTAATTGATAAAAATACAAGGTTTACCAGACAAAGCATCTATTGGCATACAATTAATAAAAACAGACTTGTAGTTAATATTTCAAAAAGCTTAGGAATCAGTAGTTCTTTTCCTGGTGATTAAAGAAATAAACTAAAGGGAATCTGTACTGTGAAGGCTAATTAATGTTGATGGCCTACCATGCTCAGTGTTGAAGATGTACTTAACAATTTGCTCATCATAACAGTCAAGTTTGGCGCATTCTAGTGCATTTCAAAAAATGTAGAGTATCTTCCATACACTAAGCTTCTGCAGAGATATCTTTTTGCCAGAGCCATCACACGGCAGAAAAAAAGGGATATACCTTATGTGTATAGCAACAGGTATGCCTCCTGGCCCGTGGGCATTAGAAAGTCAAGAAGGGCATCAAGGTCTTCTGACACCTTTTAGGACTAGTTGTCAGTTCTGAACTGTCCGACCTACTGTAGTGTATCTAATCCTATAGTCTGCATTTCTTAGTAAATACATTGATACAGCCATTATATAGTGTTGCTTTGCAGATCAGCATTGAGCTGCATGACTTTCCTTAAAGCAGTATATCTACTGCAGGTGACATTTTGGGGATCATTTGTCCTAAGAATGCACGTCTGTAAAAAAAAATCTGCTAGGATGATTCTTTTACTAACAGGTAGCATTTATATGTATTGAAGTGACCACTTCTGGTATTGTATCCACCTGCTCCAACAGATTCAGGAAAATGGTAGCATTTGAAGAGAAATGATACTCTCTCCTTGAATATCCGTCAAATCTATTGAATATGTTCTCACAGAATCAAGAGTAGGTCTTTTAAAACATTTTAAAATGTATATAGCAACTTATTTTATTAGTAATGAATATAATGGCAATAAAACAATACTAAGCTTGAGATATGGTTAAATATTGATGCGTTCGCCTAGTTTTCTCATATTTCTAGCTTTTCCACAATTTCTATTTTGAATTCAGACCAATTCTTGACTCTAAAAAGATTCACTGCGATGTGGTTATCTACTAAGGTACACTGCATATTTTAAAAATATTTTTGATAACACTTGATAAGAGAGATCCTAGGATTGAAGTATTCCAAGGACCATGATGTGATTCAACTGATCCTCCTTTAACTAATTTAAGACAAAGGAATTGGCTAGTTTGCAAAAGCAGACAGTTTGTTGGAAACCAATACTTAGAATGTATCATTAAAAACCTAGGCTTAATGTGCATAAAGAACCAGGGAATCAAAATATTAGTGTTATTTTGTGTCAATCCCTATAATGTTTAATGGTGTAATCATGAAATTCCAGGCCAAGCATTGTGGTCCAATGTATTTTTACTTTTTATCAGTGAAGCTTGTGTAATTGTAAGCTGAAGAGTGAGTAAAGGTTATTATTTAACAATATGATCTTATAATGACTACTCATTATAGTTGTAATTGGAATCTAACAAGAACTTTTAATATAATATTGGCTCCCTCTTCTCATTTTGTTACTGTTAAACTATAGCTTATAATGTTGGATACAAACAATGCTCTTAACGTCAAAAGTCTTAAATATACCGTAAATTAAAGTTGTGGGGTGAGACACCAGCAGCCGACATACAGATATATTACAATATGATTTTGTGAAATGTTTGCATCTCTGAAAGAACTGATCCCTTATATACATAAGGTTTCATTTCATTTAAACACTGGGTTTAAAATGTGATTATTTTCTCCTTGAAGTGATGATTTCATTCCATTTTCTAAAGAAATAAGCTGTGTAAAATGTTTGTGTAACCAACGTTAACATTCTGACAGAGCTGACTAACTGAATAGCTAGCTAGTTGTATTACTTTTTATATGAATGGCAAAAAAAAAAAGTTTATAGAGGTTTAGCACAAGAACATGTCTTGAAATTAGGCCTAATGCTGGTGAATGGAAATCTTACAGAAAAGGTAAAATAAAAGAGCTGGATTAAGTATACTTTGAAATCATGCAAGACAATCCTGTATTTTTTTGAACCAGAAGAGTTCCATAGTTTTGTAGCTTGATTTACATCATAAAATATATTTGGGGTTGCATATTTAAGTGTGCTTGGCTGTTCCTGCTTTTAAGATGAAAATGGCCTTTGCATTGCTCTGTGGATCTATTCATTTTTTACTTACGCATTTTCCATATGGATGTCCAAGTAAGTAGTTGGAGGGAGGCAGAAAGAGGGTTCTGTTTTTACCAGTGAGGATTTTAAATTGCCTGTTAATGGTAATGTTTCTACATTTAGTCACAGATTTTTTACAGTATAATACAAAACTATTTACACATTTCTAAACTGCTAAGGCCTCTTTAACTGTCCTTTTACACCTTGGTGTATTTTTTAAAGAAAAAGTATTTTTTGCCAGTGATCATTTTCTTTGCTAAAATAAAAGTAACTTCTGTTAGAAGTTATGCAGAAATAAAACTCTTTAGGGCAAATCAGTAATAATCTCCACTTATTCCTGGGATAAAGATCTTATGTAAGCTACTAAAGACAATTCAAAACTACCCAGTACAGCTTGAGATAAAACTGAACTTTTCAGGAGAGCCTTTGTTCTGTCAACAAGTAACCCATTTTCAGTTGCTCTAATCATAAGAAAAATCCATCATTTAACAGCAAGCTTCTGGACAAAAAAAATTTCAAAAAGCTTTATTGAATCTGGTTACCACCATATACCAAAAGCAAGTCCCGGTGTCTTACACTATACAGTGGAAAACTTCAACATGTAAATGCAGCATAAAAGAAACAAATGCAAAACTTAAGTGATGACTACTTTGTTAAACAGACTTAAGGTGTGACTCGGTAGAAATGAGACTTAGCCCTGATCTCTCTTGATAAACCAAAAATGTTTGTTTATTCAGCTGAACAAAAATGGGTCCCTCCGTTAAGTTGAAAGAACTTTGAACACAGTGTAAAGCAGATATGTAAGTAAGTAAAAGTAAGAAATCTATAAGAGAAAGCTAGCACATAACAGATAAGGTATGGAAGTTATAAAATACGTATGCCTTCTGTGGTTTAGGTTATATGCTTATCCCACAGGCTTGTGATTTCTTATGAACTTTCCATAGTTTCGAAGGCCTGCTGAGGCCTGAACTTTAGTTCTGCCATCTCAACATTTGTATCTTTTAACCAATCATCATCAGGATTCCTGATCAATATAATTGAACCAACTTCATTCCACAAATGTCCTTCAGGACAACCGTCTTCGGAAACCTCCTTAATCTAATCTCAAATTGGGGCTATTCTACAAATTAAGGCTTCTGGTTTTTTTAGGTCTGTAACTCCTCCATTTTATGGACTTGGGAGACAAAAAATGACACGTACACTGAATGGATCAGAAAGGCAGCCTTTATGACAAAAAGTAAGTCCTTTAATTCTGTAGGTTCTAAACCACACATGGTTTTATAGATTAAAACACCAGCTTGAACTGTTCCTGGAAACCTACTACTAATCAGTGTAGTGTCTTTAAAACCGGGATTATGTGCTGTAGTGATGATTTGGCATTTTGGACAAACTATAGTTTCCAAATGGCCTTCAAAGGCAGGGTCCATGCAGACAATTTTTAGAGTATTCCAACCAGTGACAAACGTTTAATCCTTGTAAGGGCCATTTCAAACCTTCACTTTTCAGATTACATGGTTACATCAGCATCTGTGGAACTTTTCCAGTCAAACCATGACACAAGCAATTAATACACATCCTTTCCATTTTGCTTATGGAAGGTTTAAAACTATTGGATTATTGTAACAATTCCATAGCAGCCCAGAACGAGACATTCCTCTGAACTGAGCTACTTTGGGCACTAAATAACAGCTATTATCATAAGTTACTTTGCAAAATAACATTTATCAATTCAGTTTTGAAACTTGAAAGCATCATTTCATCATCAAAAGCTAATATATCAAAACTAGTAGTCCCATCTGCAATGGGTCCCAGCTTCATGTTAGATGCATTCCTAAACTGTCCTTATCCCTAGATGTCTGTGGTGGCGTGGTGACAAGTTAAATTACCAAGTTACCATAAATTAATGTTTTTCAGTAACTGCAGGGGCCTTTAATTTGAAACCATGTTAATTACAAGGTGATTTCTTCTTACCTCTGTTGCATTATCTTTCTGAAATCTCTGCAATTAATTTGTGTCATTATTGTTGCTGCTGCTTTCAAACAGAAACCATCCTAGCATTCATTATCACAAACCCAGCAGTAGCCTTGTTCTCTTAAAGATACCTTTGTAAATTAAAACCTGGCTTTAGTTACTTAAGATACATAGACCAAAGATTTAAGATGGGCTTTAAACAACCAGAACTTGACGAGGATGGGAAAAACTATTGCTAGATTATAAAGTATTGTTAGTCTGCAGGCCATCCTATTTATCTTTAGAACTGGCCAGTTTTGTTGGGTCTACTATGTATCTGATCAAAAATGTGCCAAGCCTTGTAATGATATCCCTTTCATTTTTGCCATGAGTTTGAGGCAAAAAGACAACTTTTAGAATACGTAATCTTACCATCTACTCATTTTTGCAAACATTTGATTCCCTATCCATGATTTGCATAAAAAAGATCATGCTTTGAATTAT